GAATGATAAATAAACAGTTCAGACTAAGTTTGGACCCGTTATATGAAACCCTTAAAAAACTATCATCTTAACGAAAACGTAGCATGTATGGTTGTGTATGAGCCCAAAATGAGGAAATTACTTTAAGGTACCGACGGAGGCAAGGAAATCCCTGAAAATCCTTGAGTTGAGAGTAAATATATCACACATAGAAAACTATGCTCGGCTGGTTATCTTGAAGCCATTTGGGATAAGATTTTAATCGTATTTAGTCGCATCTTCCATATTTTTTTTATAGGCGTCACCTTCTGTTTAAGATTTACACAACTTGACCTATGTAGCCTTACACGTATATGACCTATGTAACCTTACACGTACATGACCTATGTAACCTTACACGTACATGACCTATGTAACCTTACACGTAGATGACCTATATAACCTTACACGTACATGACCTATGTAACCTTACACGTACATGACCTATGTAACCTTACACGTACATGACGGGGAATCCTGTCGAGTATAGCGGAAACCGAACTTCTGACTTAAGGAAGCAGGCCAGATGTCCATTTACTATGTACAATGGCACAACACAATTCCAAATCTTAGATCCTGTGACGATACGTGTAAACATTTCAGTACAGTTGGTTTCTAGCGTGGTCTCTTAGCATTAATTCTGCCTCAGGACAATAATGATGTTAGGATTATTTCGTATCCCTACATGTCTGCAGCAATCCAGGCAAAAACAAAAAAAATTACCAAGTATATCAAACGGACGTCACCCCTGAAACAAGGCACACTTAATTGCCGTTCTGTTCTGAAAAATGCATTTTCAATAGTTGCCTTCATCACCCTAAATGTCATTGGCACCAAAATAAACCCCAGGTAATTACTGAGCTTCTGTCTGCTAGAGACATTTTACATTCTTTACGTACAGATCGACCAGGATTATCGTTGATGATGATGCATTACTTTTCGAGAATATGGAGTGTTTAGTGGCTGTTAATCACAAATGTCTGACCCTGTGTGATTATATTATATCTTTTAAACCTTTAACTCGACGTGAGCAATGTCCACTGATTCCTCAAACAAGTCGCTATGAAGAGAATCTATGTATTCCCTCAAAGATGACACCATGTCGTGGACACAATATACTTGATTGTATGCCGAGATAATGTCCATGGTCCTGGACTACAGCTCCCTACACAGGCCCTGTGTAACTCCTAACACTTGTGTTCACTAAAACAAAACAAGAATTCAAATTGTGTAATGGCAAGAACAAAGCTTCTAGCTGTAGTGATGGTCTCCCTGTTCCAGTCACATGCTGAGGTCGTTTCTTCAAGGCTCTCTACAATGATCGGTAGTAGGTCGTGAAAGACGTCCGCGGCATCATACCGTTCAATCCATCGGGTCCAGCAAACGTCCAGAAGTTGTGGATGAAGTGGATTGCTCAAGAGTCTGTTCCGTGTGTTTTGACGTTTTGTGGAGTTGATGAAGAATCTGCTCACCTCATTGATGAGGGCCATCATGTTGAAGACTAGCAATACTGTTCATGACTTCATGATACACAGGTTTAAATAATGGTAGTTACAGTGAAAATACACCGCCGTTGGTTGGATCTTCTGGATCAACGTCGATCCACCTATAAGCTTTCCAGACAAGGTTCCTTCTCCATCATAGGATTGCGTCCTTTAATGGTCTGTGGTAAGTGTTAAGTTGGTAATGGTCTCAAAAAGCTTGTCAACAATGGCTTGCCCAATTGTTCCCATATCACAATCCACGTTACTGCATGAACAACTTCTGTGTCTCGTTTGACTCAATGATAAAGCAAGGGTAGTTAAGTGAGTGGCAATGTTCTCACCTCCTGTTCGCGCACGGAATTTCAGCAAGGACATGACGTTTCCTGGGTTTCTGTCTGGGTATTTTCTTCGTTGGTGTCTGCAGGTCCTCTTAGCGCTAGACTTTGTCTCCCTCAAAGGATGATGGTGTCTATGGTCGAATGGAAAGTATTTCTATTGTTTGCGATCCTTTCAGCTACAGCGTTATTTAGTTGTACATCGATTGTCGCTGCTGCATTACACTTACGAAGTCCGTAGCTTTCTGTTCTGATTCATTGTGGTACTGAAGGTTGTTGTGATCACGATAATCTGGAAGTGCTTTGTGAAACATCGTCCATAGTTCCGTTATGAATTTCCCACAGAAGGAACTCTTTCGAAACAGAGAAAAATACTTAAACAGGGCACCATCAAACGAAACAAAGTATGTGAGCAATGGGAATTCCTTCAACCACTTCTCTTGTAAGCACCTCTGCTTCCCATACATGAGGCGCTTGGGGAATGTGACTTATCCTTCATCCCTGCTACTTGTCATTATTCGGAGACGATGTTAATCAGAAACATGTTTACCACGAGATGTTAGAACTCCGGTCAAATTATCACTTGGGTGTTGCACAATAAGTCATATTATATTCTATGTATATACTGTTAAATATTCTACGGGAATGGCCTGTACTATAGGTAATGCCTGTTGCCCAATTCCTACTGTACTTAAGATATGTACAGTACAGCACGGTCTAGTATGCAAGAAAGTTGCATCTATGCCTACCGGCATGGGGTTGATGTAGAACAGGAATAATGTCGGGCCGATGACCGAGCCCTGGGGGACCCCAGACTCGACATTCACATATTCGGACCTTTCACTTATAACAAGGACAGACTGTTTCCTATCTGATAACATGCTTTCTATCCAGGTGGTAACAATGTCACTCACACCGCAGTGCCTTAACTTATGCAGGATCTTGATTTGTGAAGTCCATGCTGAAGAGGGTAAACTATGTTATTTGTGTCTGCATACACGTCAAAGAAATTGGTCTATTGTTTCCGGCATATATTTCAGCCGTTGGAAGATTACATTGAGAATTGGTGCGATATCATTATCCAGTTCCTTCAAGATTTTATGTTTAAGATTGTCAGGATCAACAGCTTTACTGGGATTGAGATTTTTCAATAGTTTGTTAATACCCTCTACTGTAATGGTGAAATCTGGCATAACTTTATAATGTGGTATTGCTGAGATGTTGCATCTTTGTTCAAATGGGGTAGCAGTGAGCCTCCCTGCTGCAGAGAAGACAGACTGAGCCTGTCTGTTAAGAACTTTGTCCCTGTTAGGGGGGGGNTTTTCAATTTTGTTTTAGTGAAGAGATGCCGTCGAAGTCCGGTTTTTGTGCTTAATGTAACACTAGAATTTCATTATCATGGTCCCAGAATCTGAATCGGTCTCTGAAGGAGAGATATAATTCCTTCAATGTACTGCCACAATGCCGGACGCAATAACTTTTGTACAAGATGTTTCAGCTCCATATAGTTGGATTTTATATTGGCATCTCCAGATTTATTGTGTTTTTTGTTAAGTCCACCGCTTTTGTGCATCAATTTTCTGATTTTAGGGGTTATCCATGGTTGACTATAGGTTTGGGTTTGATATTTTTGTGGGGATATGGTTTTGAATGGAATTAACCAGACCTTATCTAAAAATTCCCATAAAGTGTGTACAACCTGGTCAGGGTTAGTTTGGATGGAATTTAATATGTCTAACTAATCTGATATGATGCTGTCCCAGCTGGTCTTTTTAAAGATAGTGACATGTCTCGGTCTAATAGAGGCTCTATTGGTGTTAAGTATTCTCGGTGGCGTGGTCGTACTTTTAGTATGTCTCCTGTTAATACTAACTGATAATGAAGAGGTTTATGTTGTACATGTATGTTGCTACTGCCGATGGTATTTACATCTGCATGAATAATACCAAGGTCTGAGTGTAGGCTAGCAATCATAGTTGATGTAATAACAGCATGCAGGTCAAAGAGAATATTACTATTATTTAGGTCTTGCTATGTTTTGCTATGAATGGTCTGAGTGAAACCACTGATCACACGTGCTGCACACAATTCCCTATGCTACCATGTAACTGCTGTGTCACAAGTGTATTTAGTGGTGTCATTACTTGGCCTGGATTAAATTCTATGTCATTACACAACAAGAAGACTTGCCTGGTTTGCACTGCATGAGTTGTTTGTTTGGTTTAAAAGCTTGTAGAGCGTGTAGTTATAAGCTATTTTACTTGCTGTATGTTTGTGTCTTGGAATTCTGTTGTTTTAGGTGTAACTATTATGTGCGCACAGTATATTAATTTATGATGACTTTTTGCTGTCGGTTTGTCACCACTGTGTACTCTACAGAAAACACCACACATCGCAGAGATAAACTTGAACGAAGGATTTATTTCCGTAATAGAATTATGTCAAACAACGAAAAGACGTAAATTACATCACACAATCACCAAGCTTTCACCCCAGTTTCACCAGACCTTCACCAAACTCATGATGGAAGCAACTTGGCTGTTTTTTCATTATACTAACCGGTATATCACCGGTGAACAGGAGGAGGTGAAGTCAGACCCAGGTATTAACGCATCCTCCTCTCCGGGGGAGGCTCACGTGCACATTGGTTATTGAGTTACCGAGTCCTGGGGGTGAACTTCACCCCAGCTGTTGGTATAAGACTCATCCTAATTAGCTGAGCTTCAGACATGTTCACTGTCCAATCTAGCTCTGGCCTTTCTGCTTGCTAACACCCAAATGAACAGCACTGCCTGTTCACTCTGGGTGCTTGACCTCTGATGCACATGCGCATATATGTCTGACCCCAGGTAGGCCGTCGGGCATGACTCTTGTAATCCAGCCACCAGAGTGACAGGACAGTGCTGTAGCAGATGACAGTTTGCAATGGGTGTTGTACCTACACATGTACTAGTAACTAAACGAATTCGTGTATTAAACAGTAGCTAATTATCAGCCCAATTACCTAACAAACAATGCAATGCACTAATGCATCTTCAGTTATAGTTATACAAGAATTAATTTGTGACAATATGTACAGAAAGGTAACCCTCCAATGTTTCTGTTTTACTAAGGTTGCCAGACGGTTGCTACTAGATAAGTAATGTATCTCCCACCAGCAAATATAATCAATGTGTTTTTTATCTGGTATCAACGTTTATGTGACTGGTCACAGCTAGGGGAGAGGATGTGTGATTGACTAAGGAGAGACACATACGAAATCCGGTCAACTCCGCGTTTGGTATCCTGAGTGTACACTAGACCACTGTAGCTGATACCGGGAAACATGAAAGTTGTGCGGGACGTCAACACTGACGAGATTGTTTCAGCAACATTGGACAAGGCTAAAACACGTTTACACATCTACAGACAATGTCAGTTACAGGTGAGATCATGCGTTATCACGAGGCGATTTTCGTTCTAGACAGTCGGTGGTTTTTGTTCTAATGTAGTGGAACTGGACTGGGTAGAGCGTCCGTCTAGAGTTCGGATGGTCCCGGGTTCGAACCCCGGTCTGGCCGTGCATTTCTCCTCTCCTGTTACACGTACACCGGCGAGTCGAGAATCACATGGGCATTGATTAGGTTGTCTTACAAGCGTACGCGTCAGCTGTAAGGAATATCCTTTACATACTTGCCAACTTTTGAAATTTCCATGGGGGACTGATTACGCATCCGTGGTTCGAACCCGGGACCTTCTGAACTCTAGACGGACGCTCAACCAATTGAGCTATCTGGTCGCTGACGATTGAACCAGTCCAGTTCCGCTACAGAATTATATACATAAATATAATGTGTGTATGTATACAGCCGAGGAGAAAATAACACTTTTAAATTGAATCATTTCAGCTGTTCTTTCAGGTGACATCATTTCAGCTGTTCTTTCAGGTGAAATCATTAAGTCTTCGAAAAAAGAAATAATTTAGCAAATTCACTTGTTGAAAATACTTAACTTTAGGGTCCAAAATCGGGAGTCTAAATAGGGAGAGTTGGCAAGTATGCCTTTAGCTCAGCGGTAGAGCATTGGGCTGAAGCACCAAGGGTCGCGGGTTCGAGCCCCAGCGACGGCACTTTGAGGGAGAATCAAATAACCTGGGTTGCTGTTTGAAAAACGGGGGGAATAGTGTAAAAGATGTGCATTGATTAATTTGCCTTAAAAGCGTCAGCTGTAGGGAATTTCCCTTTTAAGCACATGCAGCTGTAGAGCATTGAGCTGGAGCGCCAAGGGTTGCGGGTTCGAGCCCCAACGACAGAACTATCTTTATCACTATTCCTCGTCCTACTACACCTGTTTATGAACTGTAACAGAAATACAACACCTGACTGGGACCCTCCAAACTTTAAGATGGATGCTCTAGCCACCAATTGAACTACCTTGTTGCCAACGTCCAATTTCGCTACACGACCATAAAGAGCCAATCCATCAGAATATAGATGTGATTATGGTCAGTTTTAGCAGACTACTGGTACACTGCAGATGCATGACAATATATGGTTAACAGGAAAGGTGTAAGTGTCAACTGTGTTGTTTGGTAACAGGTTGTTTTGCCCTATTTTTTTTTCTTGAAGTACGAAACAACCTAGGGCGAACAGGGTTTTGGGCGAAACAACCCAGAACTGTGTGTTTATACCAGGGAAATTCCCTTCAGCTCAAAAGTAGAAGGCAACCGTATAATCCTATGTACAATCAAAATCTTCCAAAATGGTTTCGTATATTTAAAATTGCTTGACGTCTTCAGTAGAAAACTTTCTTTTTTTCCAAGAATTATTTCCGACTGGAACAACTTACCCCGACATATCACCTCTAATCAATTCTCTTGATTCCTTCAAATTAGCACTTTCTCACATTTATTAGACCTCTTGTTATACAGTTTTTATACAGTAACCAGCGTAGCTCTCTCTCTTGCCAATTATCTTCAACTTGTTGAAGTTGGGCAGTATCCCATAGAAGACATAAAAGTAAAAAGTAACCAAAATACACTTTATGGTACACAGGAGTCACGCTTAGCTACTTGTATGGAATTAGAAACACATGATCAGAGTATTTCGAAATATAGATTGTAAATATGTGGATAAAGGAACAAGGCACAAGTTTGACAATAATATCAGCTGTCTTCCGAAAGCTGCCAATCCTGTACCACAATGGAGAAACTGTTTTACATTTCAGGGTATCGTGGCAGTCCCGGAGTTGGTGCTGGATATGTGTGTTGGACACCATGAACTAAATGATTCAAAGAATGCTGGTTGGGTGTTATACATCTTAACTAAGTGTCACCTTTATGCTGTGTTTGAAAGTCAAGTTTTAACCAACAAGTATGTTGACAATCTTGTTGTGATTGGTGAATATTGATAGTTATTATATCTCCAGATTTATCAATACCTCATATGAGTACATGTTTCATGTTGCTGTGCTCAAGTAAAGGTTAGTTACATTTTTTAGAAATTCTTTGTCACTGCCCTACTGATACACATTGTCACTGCCCTACTGATACCTAATGTCACTGCTCTACTGATACGTAATGTCACTGCCCTACTGATACACAATGTCACTGCTCTACTCATCCATAATGTCACTGCCCTACTGATACATAATCTCACTGCTCTACTGATACACATCGCCCCCACCTACTGATACACAATGTCACTGCTCTACTCATCCATAATGTCACTGCCCTACTGATACATAATCTCACTGCTCTACTGATACACAATGTCACTGCGCTACTGATACATAATGTCACTGCCCTACTGATGCATAATGTCACTGCTCTACTGATATACAATGTCACTGCTCTACTGATACATACTGTCACTGCCCTACTGATACATAATGTCGCTGCTCTACCGATACATAATGTCACTGCTCTACTGATATACAATGTCACTGCTCTACTGATACATAATGCCACTGCCCTACTGATACATAATGTCACTTCTCTACTGATACATAATGTCACTGCCCTACTGATACTCAATGTCACTGCTCTACTGATACATAATGTCGCTGCTCTACTGATACATATTGTCACTGCCCTACTGATACATAATGGCACTGCTCTACTGATACACATCGCCCCCACCTACTGATACACAATGTCACTGCTCTACTCATCCATAATGTCACTGCCCTACTGATACATAATCTCACTGCTCTACTGATACACAATGTCACTTCCCTACTGATACACAATGTCACTGCTCTACTCATCCATAATGTCACTGCCCTACTGATACATAATGGCACTGCTCTACTGATACACATCGCCCCCACCTACTGATACACAATGTCACTGCTCTAATGATACATAATGTCACTGCCCTACTGATATATAATGTCACTGCTCTACTGATACACATCGCCCCCACCTACTGATACACAATGTCACTGCTCTACTCATCCATAATGTCACTGCCCTACTGATACATAATGGCACTGCTCTACTGATACACATCGCCCCCACCTACTGATACACAATGTCACTGCTCTACTCATCCATAATGTCACTGCCCTACTGATACATAATCTCACTGCTCTACTGATACACATCGCCCCCACCTACTGATACACAATGTCACTGCTCTAATGATACATAATGTCACTGCCCTACTGATGCATAATGTCACTGCTCTACTGATACATATTGTCACTGCCCTACTGATACATAATGTCCCTGCTCTACTGATACACATCGCCCCCACCTACTGATACACAATGTCACTGCTCTACTGATGCACAATGTCACTGTTCTACTGATACACAATGTCCCTGCTCTACTGATACATAATGTCACTGCCTATCACTGCTCTACTGATACATAATGTCACTGTTCTACGGATACATAATGTCACTGCTCTACTGATATACAATGTCACTGCTATACTGATACATAATGTCACTGCTCTACTGTTACACAATGTCACTGCCCTACTGATACATAATCTCACTGCTCTACTGATACACAATGTCACTTCCCTACTGATACATAATGTCACTGCTCTACTGATATATAATGTCACTGCTCTACTGATACACAATAACACTGCCCTACTGATACACAATGTCACTGATCTACTGATACACAATGTCACTGCTCTACTGATACATAATGTAACTGCTCTACTGATACATAATGTCACTGCTCTACTGAGACACAGTGTCACTTTCCTACTGATACACAATGTCACTGATCTACTGATACACAATCTACTGATACACAATGTCACTGCTCTAATGATACATAATGTCACTGCCCTACTGATACATAATGTCCCTGCTCTACTGATACATAATGTCACTGCTCTAATGATACACTATGTCACTGCTCTACTGATACATAATGTCTCAAACAGGTTAAGGTGTCATTGTGATGTGATGAAGGTCATGGTATCATAAGGGTCACTGCCCTACTGATACATAATGTCACTTCTCTACTGATACATAATGTCACTGCCCTACTGATGCATAATGTCACTGCTCTACTGATACATAATATCACTGCTCTACTGATACACAATGTCACTGATCTACTGATACACAATCTACTGATACACAATGTCACTGCTCTACTGATACATAATGCCACTGCCCTACTGATACATAATGTCACTGACCTACTGATACATAATGTCACTGTTCTACGGATACATGATGTCACTGCTCTACTGATACATAATGTCACAGCTCTACTGATACATAATATCACTGCTCTACTGATACATAATGTCACTGCTCTACTGATACACTATGTCACTGCTCTACTGATACATAATGTCTCAAACAGGTTCAGGTGTCATTGTGATGTGATGAAGGTCATGGTATCATAAGGAACTTAAGGAATTACTATCATTAGAAGATGTCATCAATCTAATGTTTTATATTTACAATGGATCTCCATACAAATGTTGAGTATGACAGTACCTTGTTATGGCTAATCACATGGATGATATTAAAGTGATTTATATATAGCAACAAGATATGTAATCTTACCGGGTATTAAGACCATTTCTTTGGGTAATGACTTTGATCAGTAGGTCAGAGTGTGGTAACTAGCAGATATGGACTGAATTGATTTCCAGTGACTGGAAAGCTTCATACATTCGGTTTTCTATTAAAAAAATACCAACTGAATGATATGCCTTATAATGCATTCTTATTTTAGAGCAAGCAAAAGCGTACCACAAACCGAAACAAGAAGAGGAAATCAGGAAATTTTCAGCGAACTTCTTGGCAAAGATTCCATCTTTGGGGCAAAGGAGTTTGACCCTGTATCCCAGCCAGTTTACCAGGCCACTGGGGATCATTCACTAATCGAAGTGGGACAGGAAGTAGTCGGTCTAGCTGTTGGATGTGGAATAGTTACCATAGCATCATGTTGTCAGGATCATTACTTAATACAATTATATCCACTGGGTGAATTGCATGCAGAGAATCACAAAACCCCTCTACAGACCTATGTTATACTTAGACACCTGCCAGTCTCATGTAGTGATCTGACGTCCAACCATCAATACTTTACACATTCTGGAGACGGACAAGAGTTCCCTCCCCTTCACAGCTCTGAGGACATGTCTGTATCCTTACATTTAGTTATGTCCAGTGATGGCAACCCTGACCAACAAAACTTCTCATCTATTCTGGACATCTCAAATGACTTTTTCCAGGCTTTGTGTGGTTTTGAGTTGTCATTGCTGAACTCCCCTTTGCTGTTGATATGTCCACCAGAGGGCTCTATATACTATGCACCAATCAAATCTCTTGACACAACAAATAGAAATGTAAAACTTTTCTGCCACACTCACTATGCAGTTGTTGGAGTAGGGAAGATAGATTTAAAAGTGACAGATACCAGTGAGCCACCAGGTTTAGAGGTTGGCATCCAGGACAGACATACTGGATTGATTGTGACATCACAGGATGGTAGAGCACTGCTAGCTACTTCCTCCCTGGGGAAACCCCAGAAGCTGGAATTTATTGAGTTTGCCTTACCAGGCCCAGTACAGGATGTTGATACGCATGGCAGTAAGATGTACCATTCAACAGGGATGGATGTGTTTGAGACCCTACTTGAGACTAGTCCAGAGCCAACAGGATTGTCTTCCCACACTGAAGGGCTGATGTATGCCGGGGTCCAGGAGCTGGCCTGTCTCCATAACTATAACCATACCCAAGGTGAGTGGCTACCAGAATCAATGTTAAGGTCATTAGCTATATATGCATTCATAGTTATGGAAGGAAGAAAATGTCAAGCTAATATTACAAATTTGATGACACCTTTTATGATATGATTTTAGTATAACAGTCATTACATAGGAGTTAGTAAAGGATTTTTTTTGCCAAGCGGATGTGGCATTGTTGCTAGTAATGGGCTGGATGTGTACACTTGTGTTGTAGGTGGTGCCTGTGACTTGATGCTTGTGACCCCTGGACTCTCACTCAAGGTAATAAATCCTGCACTAAGACGACAACGAGGGCGACTGGCACGGGGTACTGGTCAGACCATCCGAGACCTGCTCCATAGCATCAATATGTGTAGCCAAGAAACTGAAGCTCTGACACAGCAACAGTCTCACCAGACAGGAATGTTAGCTCAACTCAACATGGCTGCCTTTCTGTCCACACAGGACCCACACAGCCCAGACTTTCCACTCCATTTCTCTTACTCCGTCGCTCATGTATGCACTCGTTTACAACAGAGCAATGAGTGGGTGTTTTCCTGTCACATGACTAACATGAGTGAGATGCATTTGTCTAGTGATTGGATGGTTACAGTAATTTTGAGTGATGACAAACAAGAGTTTATGCACTCGTCTTTCCCTATTCCTCATGAGCTGGGACTAGGGGCAGGAGTGGAGTTCAGAATGGTGCCACCAGCTTCACATCACTCCCTACTGAGGCCAGTGGAGGTGAAAACTAGTCTGCTGCTCCAGTCCACAAACAATACCCGGAGCCTGCCTGTTATGAGTGTACTGGTCAGTACAACTACCCTGGACATCTTGTATGGCCTGGTCACTCCAGAGGATGTGACCACTGTGACCTCACGCACCCAAGAGGTTAGTATGACACAGCTGGTGAGAGAGATGGCAGCGACCCGACCAATATTCCAGTGTGTGGAATCCCTCCCTACTCCCACACCAGCAACTATCAAGATCCATGTTCCAAACAATGTCCTGGAGTCTGACCAACTGTCTGTGTACTGCAAAGGTAAGTCAAACATAGCCTGCAGGTATACATCCATGAGAGCCATTCTTTTTAAAGATTATACAACAAAATTTAATTTCCTGTCAAAGTAATTACAATAAATGAAAAGTTGTCCATCATCTCTATTGAAAATCTATATTTTTTATAGCTAAAGGCCATTACCCATTCATTGATGTAAAACCCACCCCTACAGACCCTATATTGGTTGTATGCTATGGTGTGTCAACAGAAACCTGTCCTCTGCTGAGTTATCTACTCCACTCCAGCTCAGTGAGCCCTCGGAACGGCTCTGTCTCCATGGTGACAGTGGGAGGACAGAAGCTTGAGCTAACCATTGAGGGTGAAACACTGACCATACAAAGTGATAGAGCAGTTGTGGCAATAGCAGCCAGACATGCTATCCTCAACAGACTGAGAGTAAGTGGTTAATTTTGACCCTTGACCTTAATTGCATGTTTTTTAGGTCACCTGAGCTTTGTTCAAGTGACCTATTCTAATCGCTCATTGTCCGTCGTCGTCCGTCGTGCGTCGTGCGTAAACTTTTACATTTTCAACTTCTTCTCAAGAACCTGTGGATGGATTTTTTTCAAACATGGTCAGAATCATCCTTGGTAGATGAGGCTTCAAAATTGTAAAATTGGGATTCCTACCCCAACCCCTGGGGCCAGGGCGGGGCCCCAAAGGGAAAATTAACCAATATTTCAAAAATCTTCTTCTTCAGACTCAGAGGTACTACACTCATTTTCTCTGCGTGGAAAGAAAGATCATCAGGGGCTTTACTTAAATTGTAAATTTCAGGACCCCCGAGCTATCCGTTCTCCCTTGGGGAGGGGGTAAAGTTTACTATAGTTTATATAGGGAAATAACACTTTTGGGTATATTTTGACAACTTTCTGTAGGAAATTATTTTTACTTGGTGAGAATTATCCTTGGAGGTAGATGGTTTCAAATTGTAAAATTGAGATTCCTACCCCGACCCCTGGGGCCAGGGCGGGGCCCCAAAGGGAAAATTAATCAATATTTCAAAAATCTTCTTCTCCAGACTCAGAGGTACTACAGTGATTTTCTCTACGTGGAAAGAAAGATCATCAGGGGCTTTACTTAAATTGTAAATTTCAGGACCCCCGAGCTATCCGTTCTCCCTTGGGGAGGGGGTAAAGTTTACTATAGTTTATTTAGGGAAATAACACTTTTGGGTATATTTTGACAACTTTCTGTAGGAAATTATTTTTACTTGGTGAGAATTATCCTTGGAGGGAGATGGTTTCAAATTGTAAAATTGAAATTCCTACCCCAACCCTAGGGGCCAGGGCGGGGCCCCAAATGGAAAATTAACCAATATTTCCAAATTTTTCACTTCCAGACTCAGAGGTACTACATTCATTTTCTCTGCATGGAAAGAAAATCATCAGGGGCTTTATTTAAATTGTAAATTTCAGGACCCCGAGCTATCCGTTCTCCCTTAGGGAGGGGGTAAAGTTTAATATAGTTTATATAGGGAAATAACACTTTTCGTTATATATTTTATCTATTTTCAGCAGAAAATTACTCAAACTTAGTCAGAATCATCTTAGGTGAATGAGAGTATTTCTTTGTAAAATTGTATTTCACTTAGTTTACGTGCTGATTTCCACATCACATCTAAACAATAAAATAAAGCTACCAGTACCTATGATATAACTCAGGTGACCGCTAAGGCCCTTGGGCCTCTTGTTTAATTACAGAAATCTGTCTAAGCTTGATATGATAAAACCTGTTTGTACCAGGTCCTATTTTTACAGCAAGTGATGATGGGTATCAAAAGTTTAATTTTTTTAACTATATGTGTGCAAGTGAATGTCTTAATTGTAGCACTGAGGAACAAACAAAAATGAAGGAAGATATACAAATTGGTCATGAATTTTACATCTGAAAAAAGTTTTTTGCAGGGATAGATGACCCAGAATGAACAAAGTGTATTTATTTAGCATTAAACAGCTTTCAGTTGGCATTCAAAGTCATAGTATAGGCCGACTGAAGTGTGACATATTCCATTTCATGTTGAATTTGTCATGTTCATAATGACTATGAATGCCAACTAAATGATGTTCAGTGCTTGCAATTACTATTTTTCAAACGCTTTTAATTTCATAGAAAACATTTTTATCAAATTCAGCATTTAGTTTTTATTACAAAAATTGTAGCCATGGCATTCATAGCTAGATAAGTAGCATAGAGTGTTAAATACTATTGTCACCCTTCTTATTTGAAACACTATTTCTGATTGGATATCTTGAGGGGGTCTATATTTCTATAGAACCCGCTCCGCTGGGGTCTATAAAAGCACGTACGAGGTGAGATAACTCGAACTAGAATCTCTCTTCATAACAATAAAGATGGCGTCTGAAACACACAAGTGTTCAAGGTTTGCAAATCATTCACAGGATGAAATAGCTTACAAGCAATCTAAAACGACAGCAAATTCATCAAAACAGGCAACGAGGGGGCTGCTAGGGTGCTTATTGTAAGGATGGTTGCCATTATTGCCAAAAATATTAAAAAGATGCACGGTAGGCCTTGGGAGCTATTTTGGTAGCAGTCAAGTACAACTCAAACTCTCAAAGTGACTTATTTTGCAGGAAATAATGTAATAAAAGATTGTCAGGTTGACTAATTTGTTATCTCGGCCTTTGGCTTGGGGTCTTCGAGCCAGTAGACCCCTCCAAACCCAGAGATAACCATATAGTGTTTGGTGATAGAGTGGTAAATAGTAATGATGTGTGATAGTGGTAAATAGTAATGATGTGTGATAGTGGTAAATAGTAATGATGTGTGATAGAGTGGTAAATAGTAATGATGGGTGATAGTGGTAAATAGTAATGATGTGTGATAGAGTGGTAGATAGTAATGATTGTTGATAGAGTGGTAAATAGTAATGATGGGTGATAGAATGGTAAATAGTAATGATGTGTGATAGAGTGGTAAATAGTAATGATTGTTGATAGAGTGGTAAATAGTAATGATGGGTGATAGAATGGCAAATAGTAATGATGGGTGATAGAGGGGTAAATAATAATGATGGGTGATAGAATGGTAAATAGCAATGATGGGTGATAGAGTGGTAAATAGTAATGATGGGTAATAGAATGGCAAATAGTAATGATGGGTGATAGAGTGGTAAATAGTAATGATGGGTGATAGAGTGGTAAATAGTAATTATGGGTGATAGAGTGGTAAATAGTAATGATTGGTGAAAGAGTTGTAAATAGTAATGATGGGTGATAGAATGGTAAATAGTAAGGATGGGTGATAGAGTGGTAAATAGTTATGATGGGTGATAGAATGGTAAATAGTAATTATGGGTGATAAGAGTGGTAAATGCTAAATATCAACATTACATCAAGTTTGCCTAAACATTGTCTGTTTAGAGTATATAGGTACTGATAAGACAAGGTTGATATATACAACATTTACGAAAGGAAGTGCTGATCAAATATCAAATCAGATATAGACAGAGTACTGGATTAGACAGGGACCACTTCAGACTGGTAGGTTTGTTTGAACAGTATACATGTAGTTCAAAAAATATATATTCAAGGTATTGTTCAATTTTAAACACTTCATTTTTAAGTTATTTTTTCACATTAATTTTGTGTTTTTCAGGATTGTGTCAGTCGAGGTACTCGGCCCCTTCATCATAATGACAGGCCAGCGCAACAACAGTTTAACAGCGTACAACTCCTAGAGGTGAGCCTACCATAACCATTGTAAATAAGAAATCTATATAGAGATTGGATTGTTGTTCACATCTAAGCATTAGGAAATATTATCCTCCTCGAGTTGATAAATTATTGTATCAACCTCAACAGAGATAAATAATCGCTCTATTACTTGACATTTTACAAACAAGGTAATGCAACAGACTGCAATCGATGGGCTATATGTCCATTTCTATAGGGTGAGGAATCAAGTTAACATATAATGCATTGATAAGAAAACTCTTTTTGGGTACGTACCACCAATATCATATTGTGTCAACCTTAGGGTGTTGACTTATTTATAAAGGTCAGCAAAGCAGGTATCATCCCATCGTATAGCAGGAAATTTATCATATATTATATAGTACAGGTATCAGCCAATCGTATAGCAGTAAATCTATCATAAATTATATAGTACAGGTATCAGCCAATCGAATAGCAGGAAATCTATCGTATATTATATAGTACAGGTATCAGCCAATCGTATAGCAGGAAATCTATCATATATAATATAGTACAGGTATCAGCCAATCGTATAGCAGGAAATATATCATATATTATATAGTACAGGTATCGGCCAATAGTATAGCAGGAAATCTATCATATATTATATAATATAGTAAAGGTATCAGCCAATCGTATAGCAGGAAATATATCATATATTATATAGTAAAGGTATCAGCCAATCGTATAGCAGGAAATCTATCATATATTATATAGTACAGGGATCAACTAATTGTATAGCAGGAAATCTATCATATATTATATAGTAAAGGTATCAGCCAATCGTATAGCAGGAAAACTATCATATATTATATAGTACAGGTATCAACTAATCGTATAGGAGGAAATCTATCATATATTATATAATATAGTAAAGGTATCAGCCAGGCGTATAGCAGGAAAACTATCATATATTATATAGTACTGGTATCAACTAATTGTATAGCAGAAAATCTATCATATATTATATACTACAGGTATCAACTAATCGTATAGCAGGAAATGTATCATATATTATATAGAACAGGTATCAACTAATTGTATAGCAGAAAATCTATCATATATTATATAGTACTGGTATCAACTAATTGTATAGCAGGAAATCTATCATATATAATATAGTACAGGTATCAGCCAATCGTATAGCAGGAAATCTATCTATATTATATAGTACAGGTATTATGATTTATCTGTGTGCCATTCAAAGACATGCTGTACAGTTGTACTCTCAGTGGAGATTCCATAATTCCTGGTGTGATTTTTAAATTTAGTATAATTATATCTTACAGACCATTGTAACATTCTCAAGTGTTTGTTAAATAATAGTCATAATGGTGTTTATTAAGTGATAGTGATACAAAGACTTTCAAATTTCCATTTTTTTTCTTTTATAGAACAGGTTATCAGATCTACATTCATGGAGTTCCACAACAGATATATACAAAAACAGGAATCAAGTATTAGACATGTACACAAATCTCCGTTCCACGCCTGCAATTGAGAAATATCGACCTGATGCTCAATAGAAGTGATTGGAGAGACAGACTAGTTATCTAATTCTAATAAAAAATGTAAGACCAAAACACGTGCTTGTTCTGTATAAAGGTGATATGTACATCTTATCTAACACTTTAAGCATCAGCTTTCTGGTTACATGTCATGATGCCATGTAACAACGGTGAAACTAACAAGAGGCCCAGAGGGCCTGTATCGCTCACCTGTTTCTTTTGTTACATGAAACTGATATATAGGTAACTTAAGACTAAATTTGGTAACTATAACACAAGATATTTTAACATCTCTTAAACGGTTCTGAAGATATTGTTGTTTGAAATTTGAAATTTTAATTTTGAAGCTTTTAACCCACATTGACCTTTGACTCCCAACTTAAAGTTGACCTCTGACCTCATTACTGTAATAAAGTAAACAATTCACACAGCTGGATTACATAACATACCCAAGTATCATGACTCTAGTCCAAATGGTTCTTAGAATATTGTTGTTTGAAGTTTTTAACATATTTGACCCATGTGACCTTGAAGGTAGGTCTAGGTCTTTTTAATGAGGAAACTTTATAGCACTCCATCCCAGATACCTACTGGCCAAATATCATGACCCTGTGCCCTATGGAACTTGAGATGAAGATTGTTAAAGTTTTTAACCAAAATTGACATTTGACCCCTGACTAGCACTTAAAGTTGACCTTTGACCTCATTACTGTAATTGAGAAAATGATTTGCACTGCTGGTCTACATAACATACCCAAGTATCATGACTCTAGTTCAAATGGTTCTTAGGATATTGTTGTTTGAATTTTGACCCCTGTGACCTTGAAAGTAGTTCAATATCATTTTAATGAGGAAACTTTATAGCATTCCATCCCAGGTACTTACTGGCCATATATCATGACCCTAGGTCCTGCAGTTCTTCAGAAGAAGTCATTTAAAAGAAAAAAATGACGACAGGACGTCGCAGTCCAGGTGAGCTAGAAACAGAAGTTACTGAAAGAGTAAACGGGAGAACATGAGGACCTGTACATATACTGTGTCTGAGAACTACAGGGCCTGTACATATATTGTGTCTGAGAACTACAGGGCCTGTACACATACTGTGTCTGAGAACCACAGGGCCTGTACATATACTGTGTCTGTGTCTGAGAACCAGAAGGCCTGTACAAATACTGTGTCTGAGAACTACAGGGCCTGAACATATCCTCTGTCTGAGAACTACCGGGCCTGTATATATACTGTGTCTGAGAACTACAGGGCCTGTACACATACTGTGTCTGAGAACTACAGGGCCTGAACATATACTCTGTCTGAGAACTACCGGGCCTGTACATATACTGTGTCTGAGAACCAGAAGGCCTGTACACATACTGTGTCTGAGAACTACAGGGCCTGTATACATACTGTGTCTGAGAACTACCGGGCCTGTATATATACTGTGTCTGAGAACTACAGGGCCTGTACACATACTGTGTCTGAGAACCAGAGGGCCTGTACACATACTGTGTCTGAGAACTACAGGGCCTGTACATATATAGTGTCTGAGAACTACCGGGCCTGTACATATACTGTGTCTGAGAACCAGAGGGCCTGTACATATACTGTGTCTGAGAACTACAGGGCCTTTACACATACTGTGTCTGAGAACCAGAGGGCCTTAACACATACTGTGTCTGAGAACTACCGGGCCTGTATATATACTGTGTCTAAGAACCAGAGGGCCTGTAAATATACTGTGTCTGAGAACCAGAGGGCCTGTACACTGTGTCTAAGAACCAGAGGGCCTGTAAATATACTGTGTCTGAGAACCAGAGGGCCTGTACACTGTGTCTAAGAACCAGAGGGCCTGTAAATATACTGTGTCTGAGAACCAGAGGGCCTGTACACATACTGTGTCTGAGAACCAGAGGGCCTGTACATATACTGTGTCTGAGAACTAGAGGGCCTGTACATATACTGTGTCTAAGAACTACATGGCTTGTACATATACTGTGTCTGAGAAACAGAGGGCCTGTACACATACTGTGTCTGAGAACCAGAGGGCCTGTACACGTACTGTTTCTGAGAACTACCGGTCCTGTACATATACTGAGTCTGAGAACTTATACTGTGTCTGTGAACTAAAGGGCCTGTACATATACAGTTTCTGAGAAACAGAGGGACTTTACACATACTGTGTCTGAGAACTACAGGGCCTGTACATATACTGTGTCTGTGAACTACAGGGCCTGTACACATACTGTGTCTGAGAACTACCGGGCCTGTACATATACAGTGTCTGAGAAACAGAGGGCCTTTACACATACTGTGTCTGAGAACTACAGGGCCTGTACATATACTGTGTCTGAGAACTACAGGGCCTGTACATATACTGTGTCTGAGAACCAGAGGGCCTGTACACATACTGTGTCTGAGAACTACAGGGCCTGAACACGTACTGTATCTGAGAACCAGAGGGCCTGTACACGTACTGTGTCTGGGAACTACAGGGCCTGTAAATATACTGTTTCTGAGAACTACAGGGCCTGTACATATACTGAGTCTGAGAACTACAGGGCCTGAACAATACTGTGAGAACTACAGGGCCTGTACATGTACTGTGTCTGAGAACAAGAGGGCCTGTACACATACTGTGTCTGAGAACTACAGGGCCTGTACATATACTGTGTCTGAGAACCAGAGGGCCTGTACACGTACTGTGTCTGAGAACTACAGGGCCTGTACATATACTGTTTCTGAGAACTACAGGGCCTGTACATATACTGAGTCTGAGAACTACAGGGCCTGTACACATACTGTGTCTGAGAACCAGAGGGCCTGTGCACATACTGTGAGAACTACAGGGCCTGTACATATACTGTGTCTGAGAACTAGAGGGCCTGTACACATACTGTGTCTGAGAACCAGAGGGCCTGTACACATACTGTGTCTGAGAACTACAGGGCCTGTACACATACTGTGTCAGAACTACCGGGCCTGTATATATACTGTGTCTGAGAACTACAGGGCCTGTACATATACTGTGTCTGAGAACCTGAGGGCCTGTACACATACTGTGTCAGAACTACAGGGCCTGTACATATATTGTGTCTGAGAACTACAGGGCCTGTACATATACTGTGTCTGAGAAGCAGAGGGCCTGTACGGTTACTGTGTCTGAGAACCAAAGGGCCTGTACATATACTTTGTCTGAGAACCAGAGGGCTTGTACACATACTGTGTCAGAGCTACAGGGCCTGTACATACCTGTACATATACTGTGTCTGAGAAATACTGTGTCTGAGAACCAGAGTGCCTGTACACATACTGTGTGAGAACTACAGGGCCTGTTCACATTGAACGTCAGAACTAAAGGGCCTGTCCACATACTGTGTCAGAAACACAGGGCCTGTACATATGCTGTGTCTGAGAACTACGGGGCCTGTACATATACTGTGTCTGAGAACCAGAGGGCCTGTACACATACCGTGTCAGAACTACAGGGCCTGTACACATACCATGTCAGAACTACAGGGCCTGTACACATACTGTGTCAGAACCACAGGGCCTGTACATATACTGTGTCTGAGAACTACAGGGCCTGTACAGACACAGTATGTGTACAGGGCCTGTAGTTCTGACACGGTGTGTGTACAGGCCCTGTAGTTCGTCTGAGAACTACAGGGCCTGTACACATACCGTGTCAGAACTACAGGGCCTGTACACATCCTGTGTCAGAACTACAGGGCCTGTACATATACTGAGTCTGAGAACTACAGGGCCTGTACAATACTGTGAGAACTACCGGGCCTGTACATATACTTTGTCTGAGAACCAGAGGGCCTGTACACATACTGTGTCAGAACTAGAGGGCCTGTACATCTACTGTGTCTGAGAACCAGAGGGCTTGTACACATACTGTGTCAGAACTACAGGGCCTGTACATATACTGTGTCTGAGAACTACAGGGCCTGTACATATACTGTGTCTGAGAACCTGAGGGCCTGTACACATACTGTGTCAGAACTAGAGGGCCTGTACATCTACTGTGTCTGAGAACTACAGGGCCTGTACACATACTGTGTCTGAGAACTAGAGGGCCTGTACATATACTGTGTCTGAGAACCAGAGGGCCTGTACACATACTGTGTCTGAGAACTACAGGGCCTGTACATTTACCGTGTCTGAGAAGTAATGGGCCTGTACACGTTAGGTGTTTGAGAAGCAAAGGGCCCTCCAGTCCCTTAAATTTATTGGGACAGTTTGTGTTGTTAGGTCTGTGTTGTTACTCAATAACACAGTATTGCTACAGTAACTTATATCCTAGCTGTCTTGTCCGTTAACCATACCATCACTTGTTTGTTACTTATATCCTAGCTGTCTTGTCTGTTAACCATACCATCACTTGTTTGTTACTTATATCCTAGCTGTCTTGTCTGTTAACCATACCATCACTTGTTTGTTACTTTGTCTGTTAACCATACCATCACTTGTTTGTTGCTACTTATGTCCTAGCTGTCTTGTCCGTTAACCATACCATCACTTGTTTGTTACTTATATCCTAGCTGTCTTGTCTGTTTACCATCCCATCACTTGTTTGTTACTTATATCCTAGCTGTCTTGTCCGTTAACCATACCATCACATGTTTGTTACTTATATCCTAGCTGTCTTGTCAGTTAACCATACCATCACTTGTTTGTTACTTTGTCTGTTAACAATACCATCACATGTTTGTTACTTTGTCAGTTAACCATACCATCATTTGTTTGTTACTTTGTCAGTTAACCATACCATCACTTGTTTGTTACTT